GAGGTTTTGTCTTTCCACACATAACTCTTTTAAACTTCATTAATCGCCAATAAAGAGGTCCAGATGTATTTTTTTTATACTGATCCTGCTGATAATCTTCTATAGAAAACTCAATGCGACGTCATAAAATAGGAGCACTGCAGTAATACCAAAACTGATTAACAAACAAAGCGGGATAGAGGAATCGATCAATTTTTAAAAAATATAAAATCTGTTCTAGTAATTCTGGTAAATCAAAAATACTTAGACCCTTTGGGGAATCGGAGATTTGATGCTTTGCATCATCATTGCTCCGCAATAGTTGCGCCATTCTCAAGAATATATATATATATTATATATCTTTAATCGAAAAAACCAATGCTTGGATAATTAATTTAGGTATATATATTATTTATTTTCTGAATATTCTCAACCATGCTTAACTTTGCAACCAGCTCATCTAATGATAGGTCTGTTCCGCAACAGAGTGTAATTGATTCTTTCTCTGATAATATTTTTTATGCGTATATAAATGATTAAAAGATTAAGATCAGGTGCTACACAATTATCACCCGAAGCAATTAGTGATATAATTACTTCTAAGGATTCAGCAAATGCATTACGGAATCTAGCTAAAAAATATAATATATCATATGAACGAATTCGTGAAATATGGGAATTCGCTATTGCAATAAATAATTAATAATTATTGTATTATGAAATATGCAATGCAACATTGTACAAAATTTTAAGCATATATGCTATGGATAAAAAAATCCAGATTTCTCTTCACCAATTACTGGAAATAACCTAAGATATTATAAATACGATAATAAATCCAAGTATTGTTAAACAACGATGTAAGATAGCCAGAAAAAAGATCATTCTTAGTGATTCTTCATCTTCATCCTCAACTGAATCAGGCTTTGAATATTTTAGCATCGATGAGAGTGAAATACGTACACAAGTTCTTGAAGCAAAGAAGCGTGATTAGTAAATATATCACATCTGATGATTAATAACTAATTATATCACTAATCTAGATATTCCTATATAAGTCATAGATGTTCTCAATTTCAGATGTAGAAGTATTTTTATTGCTGAGCAATGAGACTTCACCTCTATCAATTGGTTTAGTTATAAAAGCTTGAGTTTCAGGTTCAGGCTCTAGATCTGAGTCAAGATCAGAATTGGAAGTATTACCCTCGGCATAATACATTCCAGAATCATGATGATCCATCTTATGCCTCATTGCAATCCTGCTGAGGAAAGCGAGATGTTGTGAAGTTGAATTTTGATCACCATGAACTCTAAAAGCATGTTTACCTCCAATTTTTCTTAATCTTTTAGCTGTAATGCCATATGGCTTTAAAAATTTACTAAATACACTTGTACTATGTTTTCCATTAATACTATAGACAGGATTACGCAACTTTCCAATCACTATTGCATTTTGAATTCAGGTAAGCAATTCTCTTGCACGTTCTGAATTCTTTTCCATGGATAGAAACGGTCGGGGTTCAGAATTATTTTTTGCTTCTCCTTTATTTTTAATATACCTAGTACAATACCAAGAGTAATCAGGATTATACCATTCCGGAGGATTTGATTCGTCAGGCTCATAATAGATAATGCAAAGAGTAGTTACTTCAGCGGGTCTCATGCTTAACATCATGATCACATCTGCGAGATCTTGTAGAGTGAGGGTCTCAGTGGTACAGATATTCTGAAGTCTTCTAAGCCTCTCTTCTAAGGAGAAGTGTTTAGGTGTTTTAGGTCGACTGATTAATCCCCATTCAAGTTTTCTCTTCTGAATTTTGTTAGAAGCTCGAGTAACATTTGGTAATTTGGCATATGTATTAATTGGCTCAGGATCGACTCCAGCTTCTGCTAATTCTTTACGAAATTGCAATAGATAGGAACTGGTCACCACAATTATCTCATCTGTATTATTTTTGGGAACAGCTAAGTCTAAAGCATGTAACCAAATATCCTACACATCTCCAGTTTTTGCACAATATTGAGCTCTTTCCTTGATAGTGAGTTTTTTCCTCCTTTTGTCTGGTACAAGAGCTTCTATTTGATTGTCTTTGAATAGGTGCCGGCGAAGAGCTTCTTTCACATCTTTACGAGCCTTCCAATTTGGTAGCATAGTACCAAGCTCATCGGCATGAGCACGTAATTGAAGCGGGTTTGATTCGGCCGATAGGTTATATTTATTGAGAATCTGATCCAAAATGGAGGTAAAGCTATTAGTTTTGGGTTTTCTAGTTTTTCGGACAGTTACCATGATAGGTATGTAAATAATATATATCGATAAGTAGATTGTAATTATACATTAACCTACTTATTTTTTCAATTCGAAATTAATTATCTTGGGTCAATATATCTATACCCAAAATTGAATGGGTCATGATTATTGTAATTCTATCAGAAAATGAACGCGAACAAGATACGAGTTCGATCAAGGTATTTTACCTAATCCATTCTCATGATTGTATTTTTTAAGTAATTCAGCCTACCTTTTTTTATGATAGTTTGATTTGTTGCAATATTTTCCAGCATGTTTAACACACATATCATATATAGAAGCAGTTGGTATATCACACTCTTTACAAGGATTACGTAATCACATTTTCCAATGAAGAGCACAACTCTCTTGTCGGTAACAACCTTTTCCACAAATTCGACCATCAATATAAATATGTGGACAAGAATAGAATGCCATCACTAATAACAATAACTTTCAAATTACGCTTATATGAAATAATTATTTTTCGAATTAAACTTTTTATGTCGCTTTTATTATAAGTTGATAAATCAACGCATTATATACTTTTTGTCAGATCAAACAACGCGCATATACAAACAACATATATACAATCAATAAAATGAGTTTGTCTAGTGAAGCAAAAAGGCTTTTTATGGGTTTAACGGATCTTGATTATAAACCTGACCATAAAGAACATACATTTTATAAATACTGGCTTGTATCTAATAGTTATACCAGCTCTTCTGATAGAAATGATACTGCGCTTTTAGATGCATATCGACCCGGAGAGATTCATTCTCAATATATAATTCGGATGGTGAAAAAAGGTTATACAGTGATCGATCATTCTAGTGAAGTTTATAGAATACCTGATACCCACGAATGTATTGACGGGAACCAACTCCTACGCTTAATTATTGATATTGATGCAAGACAAAAACCTGATCCAAATAATCCTAAACACGCTTCTTTAGATAGTGAAAAAATTAACCGAGAAGAATTGATATCTCGAATTTTAGTCGCTTGTGCAGATACATTATATTCCACATTGGGATGCATGGTATCTTTAAATTCTTTTGCCTTAGCTAGTTCATCAAATGCTGAGAAATGTAGTTGGCATATTATTTATCCTCGTGCCCGATT